GTTTACTGTCGTGTCGCACTTGGTCGAATTGACCGATACATAATGTACAGGGGGGGCCAAAAAAAAAGACATTTCCTCCTTGACTTTCGAGGCGCTATAAGTTACCTCATTTAAATTTTTATGGGACACTTCTACCACCATATTAAAGAGCATATCAAATACTATCACGATGCTCCGCCACAGCCTTCTGGACGAGCGCCATTGAGAGATTCTGGCCCGCAAACGCGATGTGGTACCTGAGATCAGCGAGATAGTCGACTTCTCCGCCACCGTAGACCACCCTGTTGAGCTCCGCCCGGACCGGGTTATTGATGGGTTTAGCTCAGGGGACCTGCTTAGATATTCCACCTTTACCAGGTACCCAACGTCCTTCCATTCCGAGTAGGCGAGAGTTTCTCCAACACCCTTCAATTCCATGTGGTGGCACCCAATGCTGTAGCAGTACAACCTTTCCAAGAAGGTACGGGCGACGACATGTGAGGTGGATAATCTTCTCGAGCTGCTCGATGTAACCGCCAGTGCTCACCTTCAGTCCGCTGCCCGCGAAGAAAATATTGGTCTCTCCATTCCAGGTACGTCCGGTCCCTACCATCAACTGGCGCCTTGGCGACTGTGGTGAAGATGATGTCCTATACCGTGACGACGTTGTCGAAGGCTGCTGCGACGGCTGGGGTCCTTGCAGATCAAAGAGTACTTGTCTCCAGGTAGCTCTCCATGGGTGACTTAATTCAAGAAGTTCCGCAGCTGCCTGGAGGTGACATGAATTCCGAAGGTCTTCACCAGTCAGGTTGCGACTGGAGATGACTTCATATTTTGGTGTACATGAAGGTGATGGGCGAGCGCCAGCTCCTGCTTATAGAGGAACATCTTGGGTATCCTTCGCCCTGGTACTCGTATCCACGTTCTCTGTCTGCGCTGCGAAAACTTCGCTGATATGTGACTCGGTCAGAATGTCTTTTTTTTTGGCCCCCCCTGTATATTGCCTTCAATGCATATAACTTATCTCATTGGACATGAATGTCTAGGTGTACTGATACAAAACTTCTAGTGATCGACGAGAAATAGCTTACAGCAATGATGAACCTAATACAATACAGCTAAGCGATACCACGTTCGCTCGAGATTTACCTTGATACTTTTAACATATGCAAGATGCTAGTACGTAACGATCACTGAACTAATAGAGGCAGCTTGAGCCTTACTGGAACTGAACTGTTGTTGATGCTTAAACTTATTCTACCCCGCTGTAGATGGCGAATAACGTATGCGGATCTAAGGACAAAAACTTTTAGAGTCCAACGAATAGCCTATACAACACAAGCGAAAAAACTAGGATGAACTGTCTTCCTCCGAAATCGCGAGAAACTTGGTGGGAACTCCAAGTCCGAAGTCGGCAACCGCTCCTTGTTGTCCGAAATCCATACCTCGTGAGCTGTAATCCATAGTAGCATCAATTCCATTGTCGTCAGCTCCAGTCATCTGCGTGATATTGATCGGATGTCCAAGTGAGCACACCCCGACCTACATCTGAAAGAGATTTTTCAAGAGTATGGGCGTTTACTGCCAAGGGTCGACCTGTGTGCCAGCATAGAGTGCTGACTGAAGCGAGCTGCTCGGACTTCCTGTCCTAGTCATTGATCTAGATGCTCTGAAAAAGAATGCCTCAAGTGATTACCCAAAGTGGGTGGGAGACTCGAGGCCTTGCTCAAGCGCAACTTTGATATAAGCGGCTTGGGCAAGCTTGTGCTACTCTACTAAACGACGTAGATTTATGGAATTTCAGTCAGGACATCCATTTAGAGCAAGTTCTGTATATATCAGTAAACATGACTAATGCACTCCGCTCAAACTTCCAATTCGGCTGCGTTGTGTTTCTTGCGTAACAAATAAGTGTACGCTGTCCACTATGCAGGCCGAAACCCAGGACGGCAGGACTTGACGCGCTCAGGATAGCTCCTACTTTGTACCTACATTGATTAATACTTCGCGCTGGGTCACAACCGACCAGGGTCACCTTCCTTGAAGGGTCGCCTCCCTTAAGAACAATCTGTAGCATCCAGATAAAATAAACGCTCATTCGCAAAGACTAAAATACGCAAAATGAGCTAGCCCAGCCTCATTTATGTCTAGTTCCTTGTCAGCCTGTATTAAAACACTCGTGGCTGGGCGCACTAAACTTGAGTGAACAAAGGGGTTCCTTGAATTGGCACATCTATTGTAGTTTGTCGTACCTTGGAAATCCATGAGCAATATAGTAACGAACAAATAACGAAGCAATGCAACTATGAGGCAATTCAAGCCTTCTATGCAAGGGAACGTTCCATTGGACTGAGCCATAGAATAAGTCATTCTGATACATACAAGCTCTCTCTTTCTCTCTCTGATTCGAGTTTCACCGCCTCATTTCGACTCGTATGTCGCTTTTCCCTGAATGGAATACTTGCTCGATACCCTTGAAAACTGAATACTAGTTAACCCATTCGAACTCTTCGTAAGAAGGGTGCATGATAATGCATGCATACCCACAGATGGGGCGTACAGGCCCTGCTTGGAGTTGTCAGCTATAACCAGACGCAAATCTGGTCTACTGGTTCGTTTCGTACCTGTTCGTAGGGCGGGCCGGTGGGGATCAAACACGAAACGAAAGCCGGAATGGCGAAACACCTTCCCAGCAGGCGGGGTCAGCATGAACGCTACGCGACACGCTTCGCGTAGCTCCCGTCCCCATGCTGACCCGTCGCCAACGTCCCGTCGTCGGTACTCGCCTTGGCGGCGATGGTTGCGTGAATACAAAACTCCATGCATCTGCGCCCCGTTAAAACATCAAACTTATGCTGATACTTGAACTCATTCTAATCCTGGAATACTACACGGCTAATTACGTATGAAGAGACCTAACCACGATAACTTGTAGAGTCTGACGAACATGTACATCATCAACAACACAACGATCGTAAGAGTTAGGACGAGCTGCCTTCAGAGGGAATCGTGAGAAAACAGGTGGTAACTCCATAACCAAAGTCGATCGATAGCCACTACTTGTTGTCCAAAATCCATAGTTAGCGAGCTGTAACTTATAACAACACCACGTCCATTGTAGTACGTTCCGCTCCTCTGCGCGCTGCTGTTCGGATGTCAAATGAACACACCCCGACCTATATCTGAAAATAAATACCGAAGGGTGCAGGATGCCTACCGCTAAGGGTCGATCTGGATGCTGACATAGGATGGCGACTAAAACGAGCCGCTCGGACTCCTTGTTATTGATCTGAATGTACTGAAAAAGAATGCCTCTATTGACAAAGGGAGTCGATGACCCCAGGTAGCTTTGCATAAGTACAACTTCAATACTTCGGCTTGGGCAATAATGCACTAGTCTACTGGAAGACTGTAGATCCATAGGATGCCTGTCAGGACATTCATTTGTAGCACTTCTGTGTATCAGTGCATGATCCATGCACCCTTCGAACAACTTAAACGTTCGTTTACGTAACTTTTTCTGTATACGATAAGTGTACCGAGTGACAATTAAGCCTCTGTGATGCGAGCAGCTTGAGCTATGGAGCACGCTGAATGCTGCTCGAACTTTAAATATTAATCTCCCTTTGTGTTACTTACATGAGAATGTTCAGGATTGCTCTTACCTCCTACCTTATCGACCTGATACTTCACACCGGGTCACAACCTACCAGGGTCAGATTCCTTGAAGGACGCACCTGCGCTCACCAGCCCTGTCTGTAGCTTCCAAAACAAGATTAAGCTGTTGCATCGGCTAGCAGAAACTGAATTGCGATAGCCTGGCTATCTCTCTGTCAATGTTCTTTGACAGGGCTTCTTCAAAGCACCCGAGACTGGGTGTATTTACCTTGAGAGAAGAAAGAGGTTTCTTCTGCTGGCACAGCCATCTCTCTCAGAGACCCGAAGCAAACTGAAGCGAAGCAAGTATGCATAATGGGTTAATCCAAGGCTACCACGCAAAGGAGGCGTTCCATTAGATTGGGCCATAGAATGAGCTATTCTTTGACACACTGCAACCTCTCTAGCCCGGATGTCACGCCTCATTTCAGGTTTCTATTGCCGATTTTGCCTGACTGATGACTTACTTGATCACAGCATGAAATCCTTCAACTCTTCATAAAGATGCATTATAGTGCATGCAAGTCCCACAGTTCGGGCGTATTGGACCTGCCTAAACTTTCCAACTACCCATGTGCTGTCTGGACATTTACTCATTTTGCATTGTTCTAGGGCGGGCGGGTGGGGATCAAACTTGAAACGAAAGCCGGAATGGCGAAATACCTTCCCAGCCGGCGGGGTCAGCATGACCGCTACGCGACACGCTTCGCGTAGCAACCGTCCACATGCTGACCCGCCGCCAACGTCCCGTCGTACGGGACTCGCCTTGGCGGCGATGGTTGCGTGAACTACAAAACTCTTGTTCGGTTTCGCTTGAAATGTATGATTTCACCTTTTGTTTCACTTAGAACATTTTACAGTGATCAGAGTGAACATGTGTTTTGCTGGAATTTGTAAGTAACAAATTCGATACAAAAGAGACCGTACATACCTCTGGGGTTGAGCTCCATATAAAACTTAGAAATTGATTGAACCTCGGCGTCATTCGTGCAAACTAAGCGCTGCGTGCACACCGGCTGTCCGCTCTCCTAATTACCAAGTGGTCTGGTTCCAACTGGGCTCGGTTAAATCAGACGATACGGGCAGTACTCCTTGATTGCACAAATCTTCGTTCAACTCACCATCGCGCGCTTTGCTTACTCATTAACCTATTATTTGCCCGACTATTATTATCAGAGTCCTGTAGTCAGCATCTAGATTTGGTGGAGAACGAGCTGGCGTCGCGCCACACCCAGTCCCCTGAAACGCCCCAGCATCTGCAGCGAGCAGGACTGGACATGTCTTTGAACTGTTTTGAGCATCGTCCGTTCAACTACTATTACTCAGTTTCCTGCATTTAATGTATCTAACTGTTTATTTTATAGATGGGATCAAAAAAGACTTCAGAGAATGCTGCACTCGAAAAGGTGGCCACTCCCGAGAAGATTTATAGAGTCCTAACAATGGAGCCGGACATTTGTGAAGTGCCAGCTTCAATTATCAGCATGTCGTCGAAATTGGTCACCATGTTTGAGGTCTGTCATATTTCTCATAAATTTACTTTTTATTCAAACCTGACTTTAGGACTTGAATCTCCAAGATGAAGATGAAGACGCTCCCATTCCAATTCTAAACGTCACAGCTCCAGTTCTCAAAAAGGTTCTTTGAAATCATATTGGACGTTTGCTGTTCGATATTTGTTTGGTTTCCTTCGATACTTTGTGTTTCAGAGTAGAAAAAGAATCCTTCGTAACTGGTTAAAGAGCATTGTGTAGATGTGGTCGAAGGAGTCAGGAGGCCTCGCGACTGTAGACTTGTTCGCTGCGGATGCTGGGGCGGGGGATGAGTCTAGCACGACGACGGTCCGTTCGGCACCAGTTGTCTTCGCTTACCCTCGCCAAAAACTCGAGGGGAAGGGGCTTGCGCCACTGCGGACCCATCCCCCTCCCCTTACAGGCCCTTCATCCGCACCGAACAGAACTCTATATGCGGGGTAAGCAGCTTTAATTCGTAGCTGCTGAATGGGGTTTCCAAGGGGATGATGCTCGCAGCTTCCGCACCGCGACCCAACTCACTCAACAGGGTAGTGGCGCTGTGAGTCGACTCTATCCCTCTAGTCAATTGATGCTGTGATTCTACTGCTGGGAATTAACGCTGCCCCAACCCTGCTTCTGCTCTAGGAGACTACGATGCGGTGACTCTGATTGCATGCTCTGTTAGAGTGCGTTCATGCTTCACGGCAGCGTTTTGAGCGTATGCCAGCGTTCCATGCCTTTTAAGCATCTGTGAGTGTTTTTAGCGCCCAAAAGTATAGGTGTCATGCTGAAAACGCTGCTGCGTGCTCAAAACGTTGACACTAGAAACGCTACATTGAACACCTACATTCTAAGAGCTCAGAACTGCCAGCGCTCACAGTGCTGCCGCCAAGTCTGAATGCACTCTTAAAGATCAACGATCAGTCATGTACAGCACAATATCGCGGAATCCACAGCCACGGAGGATAGCCCGCTCATGGGACTCGAAATCGATTGATAGACGAAGGCGGGGTCAATAATGATTAGCTGACTCCGCCTGTCGTGTTAATCCCGCCTCGTTTGGTTTTCCATTCTCGCTGGCGTTGTTAATCGCTAAATTTCTAGCGTTTACTCATAAACTGATAGAGAGTACTCATGGTCAGATTAGATAAGATACCCTAGGTAGTATCCTCATGAATTAGCCGCAACGAGACGGCCTCGGGTTATGGAGAACGCACCCAAAATCTGCGAAACTCGCCCAGAAGCGTCCTATCGAGCAGGGTCTTATTCTGTGTCCTTGCGACGCTTTTTGTTTACTTTTTCTGATTAATGCTTTACCTGCCACATGGTCCAACAATTCTGAGCACTACAACCTGCCAAAGTCGATCGCGGGCGCTGTCTTTGAGCCATGGAGGGAGGAAGGGACTAGGCGCTGCCGCGTGGCCCCTTTCATTACGCTTGTATTAGTAACTGTTGGTACTGGTCAGATGCGGTGAAAATCCTCAGATTATGGTTTATTTCGTTTGTAGGTCGAATTCCTCGATTAGAATGGTTTCAGGTGGTAGCGTGGTGTGAAAAGCATAAAACGGAAGGGAATGACATCAAAAAGCTTGAAGAGTGGTCCGAGGACTTTTTCAATGTCGATTATCCCATGCTTTTCGAGATCACAGTGGTACGCTTATATATGCCATAAAGCCCAATTTTGCATTAACTTATCAATCATATTCAGGCTGCCACTTATCTGGACATTCCCAAACTACTCGATGATGGATGCGAGAAGATCGCCCACATTATGGAAGTGAGTTGTTTTACCTTTGCCATAGCGCTCTTTTGTACACTCTCTGTTCATGCACTTTAAACTATTAACACAGACTTGTTTGCTGCAGAAGGTGGGGCCTGTCAATGGGGCTGGGTTTAATGTAGCGCCAGTCTTTTACCGATTGTGGTCGCCTGCCAGCTTCCAGTTGGTGGATAAAGGGCCAGTGCCACGACGAGGCTACTATCCATGAAAGGCCGCAACATCCGCAGCGATCAAGTCTGTTTACTAAGCATTCGAGGAAACCCGAAGTGACCCAGTTATTTGAATATTTGGTGTGGGGACAACACTAGATTGTAGCTCATTTCTGTCATTCTAGGGAAAGACTCCCGAAGAAATTCGCACTATGTTCAACATTACAAACGACTTTTCCCCAGCAGAAGAGGAGGAAATCCGCAGGGAGAATGCTTGGTATGAAGTATAAATGGCTTGCACTTTGGTATATGGCGCCCTTGTTTCATTACTCCATTCCATTACTTGAAGAAATTAGAATTTCTTAGAAACTGTTTGTTCGCTGTCTATTTTATTCTTGCGTTCACTTACCTTGTTGTTGTTACCTTGTTGTTGTTACCTTGTTGTTGTTACCTTGTTTTGGTTTTGTTTACTAATTGTCTTCATTGTACCACACGCTTTGCCGTGTAAGAACAATAAACAATAAACTAAGAATTTTTCGTACTCTATTGTTTTGTATGTATGGGAATTCTTACAAGGGAAGGATGGTAGGTCGAAGTGGCCATTTTAAATGAAATGTATACCGGCTGAAAGGTCTTTTGACGGGAATTACGGAACCGTCTTCCATATCTGCTGCGGACCTCCCAGAAAGAAGTTACGGAGCTTTTTTGGGGGAGAAGCACTACAAATTGCCGGCGTAAGGCTATAGAGATCGTGGCAGCATGGCCGAGTGGATACGTCGTAGGGCTCACGGATGCGCGGTCGAGAGTTTGAATCCTTGATGCGTGTACACTTTTGCATTTTTTTCGAAAGTGATCCCTGTGCACTTCAAAGCTATTTTGCATAATACTTGTCCCTGATAATGTCGTTATGTAATGATTCTGAACTGATGGAGCCATTGCGAACCATTCCATAGTGATCACTTTTGGCTCTTGTATTCCTCTTTCTTTGCTTTAAAGAGCATGTACAACAAAAGTGCACTCCAAAGAAAGATTTTGCCTTCAAATGTTTATTCTCCAAACGACATGACTGGAAAACGAATCCGAAGTTGTGCATGAAGATGATTATAGTGGGGGAAAATGCTTCCATATGAAGTAGCGTTGATGTGGCAATCATGCTGGAGGTCGCGATGGGCAAGAGCTTCATTCACCAGTGCATAACGTTGAATTATGTCTATCTCAAAGAGTTTTCGTATTTGCTGAAGTTTTCGGCTTGTATGACAATCTTTTCAGCCGGAGGTGATCTCGATGAAATCGTTCGCAATGGCTCCATCAGTTCAGAATCATTACATCACGACATTATCATGGACCAAGTGTTATGCAAAAGGCTTTGAAGTGCAGAGGGACCACTTTGGAAAAAATGCAAAAGAGCACACGCATCAAGGATCCAAACCCTCGACCACGAACCGTGAGCCCTACGACGTATCACTCGGCATGCTGCCACGGTCTCGGTAGCCTTAGCGCCGCAATTTGTAGTGATTCTCCCCCAAAAAGCTCCGTAACTTCTTTCTGGGAGGTCCGCAGCAGATATGGACACGGTTTCGTAATTCCGTCCGAAGACCTTTCAGCCGTATACAATTTCATTTCAAATGGCACCTTCGACCTACATCCTTCCCTTGTTAGCAGATGAAAGGAAAATCTCGCATAAAAATGTCTTCGTTGCTGTTTTCAAAACAAATACCAGCAGACTTGAAAGCGCACCTGGATTCAGTGGATATTCAGGCGCTTTCATTGGACATGCTAGTCCTGCTTGCAACCTAGGGATATACTACTTTTGCAGCTCAGACTACGTGATTTCAGCCGTTGTCCTCGAGCTTTTTGAAACTTCACAGAGAACTGGCATTCTGTTACAGCTCTAAATTTCCTAGGTTTTCCAAAGGACGACTCGAACCCTAGCTATATTCCTAGCAAAGGAGTAATACCTGGACAAAGTTGGAGCTGCCTCTATAATTGCAAAGTAGAGCCTGGACGAAAATGTATGCCATTAAAGGCTATTGGAAACGTTTATATACAAACTTTCATAGATTGTCCTCATGTGAGACCATGTGAGGTTTAGAACGTACCTTATTAACATCATATTTGAAACTTGGTGAAGAAACCATTAGTAGGAAGAAAACATTGACAGTCATCACTTAGGAATGGTGCACTCGATGTGAACAGCGTGTTGCGTAAAGGCACTGGTACTGCCAGATGGACAGAGCTAGGTGGCGACCTCACTGGAGCGCCCAGTCGTGGAAGGTAGAGGCGCACCAATGTTGTCGTTCCTAGCCCCGCCCACCGGCATACACAAAGGTGCCATCGGAACTTCAAGCCCTCGAAACCATGTACGGTACATACGCCTAAGTAGTGGTTTCTAATCATTACTGAGAACGAGAAGGAAAGATTACATCGTGTTCCGAATAAACATGAAATGGAATGCGTAGAGCACACTAGTCTTACAAATGCTAATCGTAGCGTGCTCTTTTGGGACCGCCGTCATCCTGGTGAGACCTGTCGTTCCACGGTCGTCGTTGTCCTCTGCCTTCATCACGCCAGTCGTCTCTTCTTCGACGATCATCGCGCCAATGACCTCTACCTCTTCCTCCTCGCCAATCACCACGTTGTCCATTACCCCAACCTCCTCGACGATGTCCTCCATTGCTAGAAAACTCCACTGTTATAAAGAAGAACAATAACTGGTTGACGCAGTTCGGCGACGAGGGGGGGGGGCATTTTGCACTCTTGCTGTCTTACATTGTCGTCCCATTGCTATACAAGAGTTGACAGGTCTATAGGCGCTACACACCGCAAAAGCACTTCACAACTACAACTTCTGATAATTCGATGTAGCATTCGATGAGTGACCCCACCCTCCCCCCACTCCTCCCCTCTCTTCGTTCCCTCTCGAAGCTAGTTCTCTCGTGAATACGTTCTCGAAATGGGAAAAGCGATAACAAGCTGTGAGATTAGGAATCAGGAGGGTGACCGTACTGACACCGCCATTACACACGTCACGATTTTGTACCATATAACGACCTACGATTACTGTCGGTGGCTGGCTCTCCAACATCACCCTCGAAAAGGGCAAGAAGAAACCACATTTGTAGCATTGGTGAAATCGCTGACATCAGACAAATGAAAAAAAAAATTCCATTAGAATAATTGTGAACGCCTACCCTGAATTCGGTTTTGCCTGGTTGCATGATGACGAGGTTCAAACTATTTCCGGAGGCGTTATCTCCGTGCATACCAGCTTGAAGGGCACGCTGTACCAGAGCAACACACTCTTCTTCCTTATTCAGAATAAATTGGATAGTTTTAAAAAAGGAACTATAGAGAAAATATCCCCCAAAGAAGAAAGCAAGAGAAACTTCGAAATCTGACCGTCATATCTTGCTTGAAATCTCTCTCAAGAATCGAAATGGCAGCATAGCTTCCGGAGCCTTGAGCAGCAAATGGCTTGGCCATGGTCGTTCCATTTGCGGAGCACTCATACAAATGTGGGCCCGTAGGATCGACACCACCTAACATATATATTTAGAAAAGAAAAAAAACGTACAAAGTGAACTAGCTGACGAAGAGCCCGAACATTAGGTTTAGGTTTTTTCAAGCGCTGTTGGGCTGAGGAAGGGGCACTCTGTACTTTTGGTAGACTACCTTTTCAGTTCTTGTTAACTAACAAGTTGCTGAAGAAACGTGTGAACTATCATGAAGCTGTGTAATGGACAATTGAGCACAGTCTTCACAAGGTGTAAAAACCTTTGCTGAGTATCATTCAGCGCCCCACCACTCCGAACTGCATCCATTCAATTTATTCCCTCAACGACCTACCCTTCATCTACCTTGTGGAGGCCCATTAGTTTGGGACAGCATATACAAAAAATGCATAAATAAAAATAAAACAAACTGCAGATTTACCTATGAGCAGATAGGGGCGCCATTCTTTCGTACAGATGCAGCTGTGTGCCGTTGCGAACTTTGCGGAGCTACAGTAACCTCGCACCTAGTTACATTATTCGTTGGGGACGTAGCACCTTATTGAGTTTTGGTGATTATATTAAAGTGTGACATCTATGAGTATCTTTTAATCCTAGACTCTTCCTGTGCAGTAGCCTCGTAGGCATTTTCGAGGAAGGAACGATATCATCGACCGAAAACCTCTAATTTACACACGCATAAAGTAGTCCCATGGTTTCTCCAAATTCGCGTAATTCACATACGCATGAAGGGATCAAACGCATTACGAAGTAAAAAAAATAAGGGAAGCAAGTAAAATCTTAGTAAACTAATTCTTCCAAGCATAACAGTGTTCCCTCTATAGAGGTCCCTTGAAAAAAGTTACATAAAATGTAGTAAACCATAGAGTTATGAGTGAGTATACATTCAGTACTCCCAACCCAAGGATGCTCCCACGGTTCTCCACGCTCCATATTGTTTGGGGAGCGTGGCAAACTCCGCTTTATAAAGCCGCACGCTTTCGCCTCTCGCCGAAATCATAAATCTGGCACTCGTCAAATCGCTGGTCCAGGAAGTGAGTCGAGCAGAACGGTAGTAGAAAACCACAGTAACTTTACAGGACATGTTTACCGTTCCCAAGAGGAGATACACCGTTCCCGTGTAATGGTGACCAGTCCCCTCGGCAGACTTGCAGGGCTTCTCATTGTTTGTGCCCCTGACTTTCGTAACTCGAAAATTTTTGTCGAGGTTATGTCTTTTGCTGTATCATGAAGAGCTCTCTTATTCCAGTCTGCTCCACAAAAATAAGCATAGCAATAGACTGCGCCATAATCATGGACTATGGCGCAGTCACAGTATGTACACGTATTATCACATAACCGCTATCTTTTCACATATATTAACAGAATAACACATAAAGTCCGCTATCGTGGCCCTTTGTGCTTTGACCTGTTGGGGAATGGTGACGAAGGGGAAGCTATCTCCACATCTTGCATCATCTTCATCATCATCATCATCATCATCCATCAACCACATCTTGCAACTGCGCCCTAGAAAGGCTCCGTTATATAGCAGCACTCACTATTTCCGCTGTATTTCCGCTAATCTTTGACCTTTTAAGAAAAAAAATGTGCAGTAGCGAGGTCACACACAAATGAAAATGAGGGAGATTTACTCCCATTAGACCAAATATTTCACGTACAAAGTTATCAAAACTCCTCGTACCAAGAGTGAGAGAACGGAGCTGAGATAGTCGAAAGGGGAAGGGGCACACGGCGAATGCAGCTAGGCCACGGCGTCGTCTTCATCCTCAGAGCACGTCGTACATAGTGGATCACAGTGAGGGGGGGGGGTNAATGAGGTCGTTTCCGAAGGTACAGGGAAGTCGTAATTGCCTTTTAGAGAATCAGGTGCGTCAAT